TGTTCAATAATCAAAATAATTTTGTGCGAAAGTCAAAATAATTGCTAAAATATCAAAACGTTTTATAGCAATGCTTATCAGTTTTAACATTCCAACAAATTATTTTGATGATTTAATAAAAAATTATTTTCAGATCTGGATTTTCAGATCTGTTTTTAGCAAAATTTTTTCAAGCAAGATCTTTCAACAAAATCGTTCTTTCTGTGTATATTTATTTTACGTACAATAATACAAACACTTCAGACTAAAGTAGACTAATTGCATATGTATTATCATATATTTATTTCAAACGTATGCTATAAGTATGCCATAACTACTTGGATTGTAAAGTTTCAAGCTTCAATTTTTATTTTTTGTGGATATATATTATGAAAAAAGGGATAAAATAACAGCAAAATATGAAATTGACGTACTCACAAGCTAAAACATAAATTCTATTCTAAATCTAAAACGAGAATGTTAGATAAAAGATTATTATTAGCCCAGAAATTTTACCGTGGCGAATCCTTCTAGTGACACAGTAAATATTCCATCAATAACGATTGTGCAATATCGCATGCTTCTTTGCATCACAAGCAATAATAACCTCTGCGCTCGCAAAGGAGCAACATACCATTGCACGTTGTATCTAAAATTTTGTTTTTAGAAAATCATAATTGAAAGCTTTGATAATGTTAAATACAATATTTACATTTTTTAAACATTTTAATTAATCATATATAATTTAAATTCATTCGTTTTGTTGCATATATGCAGCACTTAATGCTCTCAAGTGCAAGTAAAATACACACAAAGTTAACAAAAATATTTCAATTAGAATTGATCAATTAAGTTTTGATATATATGTAACATATGTTACTCACGTTCTGTAAAAGACATTGCTGCTATGATCAATCACTTTTTGTCCTAAATATAAGTTGCAAAAAAACATGTACCAAAAATGACCAAGAAGAAATATAAAACTAACGATCAGTTCATAATATTCCTTGGACATCATTAATCGAGAAAACTGTGGCAATAAATAACTAATTCGCTATTGTAGAGAAGAAATAGTAAGAGTTGTATTTACAATACAGATAACACGTGTGATCAAGATATATTAATTATTCAGCTTATTCGATTAGTATATGTGTATGTACATATGCGTGTGTGCTTGTATACGCGCGTGTATGTGTATGTGTAAATGTACATATATGAGACATCAATAAGTATATTAATAATTACTCACGCGATAGAGATTAATGCTTAAGGATAATACCCCTAAGGGCAATAGTAATGAATACGCCAATATAAAACTTCTCTTCAACATTTCAAGAAACCTTAAATAATACTTCATTTTAAATACGCATGAAGAAAACATATTCATGATAAGCTCTAAATAAACTCGTTTATTATACAGAATTGACCAAAAGTGTAGAAATTCTGCAATAATTTGTGTAAAAAATAAAAATATTGGAAAACGGTAAAACACGTGTTCTTATTTTTCAAGAAAGCGAACTTTTGACATGGGTGCTGATCCATTCTCTACATCCAGAATAATAGATTCTTCCTGCGAGAGTGGGAGGGGAATTCAAAATTTTGAATCACTAGGGGTCAAAATTATTGCACGGTTTCCATACTTTTGGTAAACCCTATACATATATGTGCTAATTTATACAATTTGTAAAATTTCGTAGTCTATATATAATATAAACTTGTTAAAAAGTTAAAGTGTTTGTGAAAAATACTTCTAGTCATATTAATGACAATTACGAACTCAATTGCCCTTCTGTATATATTGAACCCATTGATTATCCCTTGGCATATTAGCGAATTTCTTTCGATATCAGATGATGCAATACTTCGCATCGTATCTTTGAGCAATGCTTGTTCCATGCGATAGCTGAAATTAATAACACAACTGCAACATGTTTGCAAACGCTTTAAATTCAACTCAATTTTTTAAAGAACGTTAACTTTGCTTTACCTAGCTATTTCAAATAAACCACACGCATGTTGTATGTATGACATATTAAGCGTTTCAGTGGCTACCACCGTAGTGAAGCCACTCACTGCGGCGAAACATACTGCCATTAAAAGTGGAAAAAAATATTTTTGCTGATCCAAAAAACATTCTATTAGGATCGGAAGTTGTCGTGGATAGGATCCATTTTTACCGGTGATGTCCGGAAGAAAGTTTGACAGAAACTGTACCAGAATGAAGCAAAAAATAGATACATAGATGAATACTGTAATTAAACGATTAAAGTCTGAATTGAAGAAATCGAATCTAGAGTATAAAAAAATTATTCAAAATATTGCTTACATGTTGTAATTAATGTGATAAATCTTCCCATATCTGCATATTCTTTTATTATTTCAATTTCTTGTACATCGTTCAGTTCATTCCAATCACAAAGTATTCGTTCCATAAGATTTCGCATCTATGTTCATAAATCAATGGTTATTACCTTTTCGAAAATATCTCAAAAATAAAATTCATAATTAATATTTACTTCTTTTACAAGTATTTCTATACAAGTATCTACACGTTTGATATTCTTACCCCTCTTATGTTTAAGCAAAGAACATTATATTTTAACGTATAGGCTAGCCATGGTACGCTATACGCGAGAACATGCAGAAGAAGATCTATACTGTACTCTGTTGTAACGAAAACCGCTAGCTAAAAGTTGTATTTTCCATTTAAATCATTTAACGATAAATATTTTAGTTATAATAGAATAGTTTCGACAAAGTTATTTAAAATAAAAAATACAAATATATTTAAATAAACAAATTTATGATAATTTCTTGTTATAATTTATAACGTTTATAATAAAGAAAGAATATCTTTTTAATTAAAGTAATTATGCTTTGTTTTATTTTACTAAGCTTCACATTAAATAGGATACAAAGAATATTAATAAGAGAAAGAAATAAGAATAATCGTACCTGAAGTACTATGCTTGATACAAACGTTGTTGTTATTAATGCTATTGCAATATGTCTAAAAATAGATTTTTCACACGGCCATAAGCCGATACATAATAATAAACTTCGATTAATTGTATAGTAACTGTTCACCGGACAACTTTGCCATCTCATTGCAAGTGTCATAATGCGTTTACGCCGAATTTCTTTTTACAAGTTACCTCGAAGGTTCGGTATGATTGTAATTTATAATTTGCTACTCTCAAATAAAGTACGGAACTTTTGTGAAAAATTACGATAGAGTGCCTATAGCTTACTGTAATTATGCAAATTATAGTTTTTGTATATTTTGCTAGTGCCGATATCTAAGTATAAATAACCCTCGGATGAACGTTATTACTTGCCACCGATTATCTTATATGTAACCGATTAGCTTTTTCGCTCTTCGCGTATATATTGTATTATATTTGATATTTCTTTTCTGCGTTCGATCGACGCAAGCGCATTTGTAACGTCGCGCTTTCATGCATTTTCCACGTCTCTTCATTTCTGTTCCAGATGCGATACGTAGCAGTACATTTTTTTGCGATATGTGTGTGCTAACATTAACAGTGTGTGGTAACATCATTCCAGATTAACTAGAAAGATCACTGTGCGATGAATCGTCGGTACTATATGCGTTTTACTTGAAAAACACTATGAAGATTATGCTGTGAAAATTTACTTGGATTACATCCTAAATTAGTAAGCTGTCCTAACTGTAATATTGAAGCAACATATTTCACTGTAATATAATTAGATTTAAAACATTTTATATCATAAAAAATCTTTGTTTAATAATATTATTTTTATTAAGTTAGTTTTCGCATTATTAAGATTAAATTGTCTGAATATAAGTACGTTTTATAAATACTGGAAATGACGGTAATGATCTTATCTATATAATAGATTGATCTTTTTTCGTTTAATTTTATAATTCTGATAAAAAATATACGATAAAAAGCGATAATTTTCTTTTATTTAAATATAATAAAAACAGCTCGCGAATTGTTAATATTATTATATATATCCTTTTGGCTAATGATGCATTAATTTTCGTAATATTTTTATTATTCTATTGGTATATAGTTCCATAAAACGTATAAGTACCGATAAATTTTGTGAAATTTCATTTTTGTTTATATAATAAACGCAATTACAGACATGATTACTCATGTTATAAAATAATTACCACTTGTACGTATAAAACAATAAAATAGAAAAGAATTAGGCCAATAAACAATCATTTGTATGATGTCTATATGATAATGAATTTGTATGATGGCTGATGATGGCTAACAATAAGTAAGCCGAAACGTTCCATCAAATCGTTAATTATTAAAATTTTTGTATTAATTAATTAATCAAAAAAATTTTGCTCGTTTATTGGCCTAATTCTTCTTTTATGATTACTCATCTTAGAAATTGGTTGTTTTTATAATACATTTATATTTGTAATAATTAGTGTGTCACATCAGAAGTAACCGGAAAACAAATAAATTACTATTCGTTCTTCCCTTAGTTCTCAGATCGAGTGACTGCGATCATATATAATTCATATCAGTTTATACTTTGAGAGAAATGTGTAGATCTTGAACTGAAAATGATAGTGTACGCAAGTAATAAGCAATAATTTATAATTCATAATTCATAATGTGGGTAATAATATATATTTTTAATTCTGTTTATTTTTTCGACATAACTTTTTGCATTCATGTTCTGTCCTTTTTATTTTTGCTTACAAATACAAATAAAGACAGATAACAGAAGACTTTCGATTAGAATTATTTTGATATGATCAAATAAAAAGATTTAATGTATACGTTGCTCACTTAGGTATTCTGTAAAAGACATCGCTGCTATGATCAATCATTTTCTATCTTAAATATAAATTACATAAAAACATATCTAAAGCGGCTAATGTAAGAATAAACATGAAATTAACGTTATATTGTAATATTCCTTGAATTCTATCAGTCGAGAAAGCTGCAGCATAAACAACGGCATAACGATTCATTTGCTTCCACAGGGGAAAAAAAATAGAATTTGTATTTATGTAATATAATGGGATTGATTACTATGTCGATAGCACTTGACATAGGTATTGATTACTTACAATTAGTATTTATTAGTCAGCATGAATACATGCATACATATGTAGATATATGTATACATATATATGCAATATATATATAGTATATATGGTATGTTTGAGTTAAGTACGTATATGATTTAAATAATTTAGAGAAATAGGTTCACGAGAATATATCAAACATATTAAAGTAGAGGCTGTATGCAAGCCAACACGGATGTTGGTGTGTAATAATTATTTTTATACAATATATCCAACCACACGCAAACTGCGCGTCGCATATTCGTCGATCTTGAAACACAATTTATTACATAAGGCTGTAATCACTTGTAACAAATTAAATCAATTAACGATTTAATTTCTTTGATGCTAATACGCATCTATAAGAATCCCCTTCCCCCTGGATCGGTAAAGAATTTATTCCGAAAAATATCATCTTAGCTCTCAGTCAGGAATTAAATGTCGCGGATCTCCACGTCTGTGCATTATTATTTGTTTATATAATAATGTTATAAAAAAATATTTAAATAAAAATTATTTTGTTTAAAAATTTATAGAATGGTTTAAATGTTAATTAAATTGTTTTTTAAAAAATGTTTTTAGTAACAGTTTGCTGTTGCTCAATAACGTTACTGATTTAAATAACAATTTAATTTTTAATAGAATAATATATTCATTCTATTATACTTTTGTAAAGTATTTTATTGCAAATTCAATAATGTACATAAATTTTCGATAGTCATTCATAAAATATTGACTTGTGTTGTTTTTTATGAGCGGAAAAACAAAATACCTATTTCCAATAAAAAATATTTATTAACAAAAATAAATTAAAATTTTTGTTTAAATCATTATACAGATTTTCTAAGCAAAATAATATTTTAAAAACTTTTTAATAATTCTATTTACAAAAATGACAGTATATATTTAAACCATACTATACATACGATATTAATAAGTAGAGCCCAGAGTCGAGTTTTGTGGTTTCCTGTGTCGCGCGCGGAG